GGTCATGAGAGAAATACTTACCACTGGCAGAGTTCGCTTACAACAATAGCTATCAGTCCAGTATTAAAATGGCACCTTATGAGGCGTTATCTCGGAGGAAGTGTCGTACGCTATTAAATTGGTATGAGATCAAAGATCGAACTGTACTCGGTCCATATTTGATTCAAGATATGGAAGAGAAAGTTCGGGAAATTCAACATAACCTAAAAGTAGCATTTGATCGGCAAAAGTCATATTCTGACGTTAAAAGAAAGGATATTGAATTTGAAGTTGGGGATAAAGTGTTTCTGAAGGTATCGCCATGTAAAAAAGTATTACGATTTGGTCGGAAATAAAAGCTAAGTCCTAGATTCATCAGGCCATATGAAGTTGTTAAAAGAATAGGACCAGTGGCATACCAGTTATCTTTGCCACCAGAAATGGAGAAAATCCATATTGTTTTCCATGTGTCCATGTTACGTAGATATAGGTCCGATCCCTCTCACATTATTTCACCAGAACAAGTTGAAGTTCAACCTGATTTGACCTATGAAGAGGAACCAATACAAATATTGGCTCACGAAGTTAAGCAATTGAGAAATAAAACGGTTCCGTTGGTCAAAGTTCTTTGGAGAAATCACAAGGTAGAAGAAACCACGTGGGAACGTGAAGAAGATATGCGACTTCAATATCCTCATCTGTTCGTGCAATGAAAATTCGAGGACGAATTTTTCTTAAGGGAGGGAGATTTGTAACATCCTCCATACCGGGTTAGTGATCAAATTGTGAGATTTAAAAATTCAGTGACCAAATTGGATAAATTAAAAAGTTCAAAGAATTGATTGAAATGTTCTGTGTAGGATCAATTAGGAAAGAAGGAGGAACTAAAGGGGTTAATAAGTCTTTTAATAAGGGAAATAATTAAATATTAGTTGAGGATATTTTATACCCACGTGGAAGCTATTGGAGAGAACCAAAGTTTCCAGATTTGTCTTCTTCTTCATTAGTCTTCTCCATCGTGAAGCCAAACTAAAGTTGAGTTTTCTTGTTAATCAAATTCTTGATGAATTTAAGGTTGCTTATTGATCATTAGATGATAACTAAGCTTAAGGAAAGCTTAGGTTATCTTAAAATCAAAAGATGATGGAGTTAGGAAGGATTAAAGAAAGAAAGTAGAAAAGTGAAATCTTGGAATAGAGTTCATAATAAGAATTAGAAGTGGAATTTGACTTGTGATCAAGCTAATTAAGGAATAGGAAGTGTTAGAATTAAAATTAGAACATGTTACAAATTGAGTGAGATTCTTAAATTCCATATGGAGGATTGGATTTCTAAGTTTTAGAAGTATTGAATGGATAATAATTAGTTTAAGTAAGTGTATGCAAGTTAGGGATATAAAAGGAGGTGAATTATGAAGTGTTGAGAGGATTATAAAGATATTTTCGTGCTCAAAATAACATTTCTAGGCTATGTGCATCGATGCACATTCAATGTGTACCGATGCATCAAGGATAAATTCCAGAAATTGTTCAAGGTGTATCGATGCACATGAAGTGCATCGATGCACTAATTTAAAATAAAAACATCGAATGCCATCAGTGCATCGATGCACAAGTAGTGCATGATGCACCTCGATGCACCCCCTTAAATATAAACATCGAATAGGATTTTTTATCGATGCATATATAGTGCATCGATTCACCCGTCAAGGGATGCATCGATACATGGTGTAGTGCATCGATGCATACCTTCATTAAAAGATGAAATTGGCTTTTGTTTTTGCCCAAGAAATGATAGTTTAGAATATATTAATTAGTATACTGATAAGTATCAATGAATTACTATATAGATACAAAGCCTAAACAAGTTCCAGAACAATTGCCTAGTAAGATCGATCGAGGAAAAAGAAAGGAAATATAGGTGAGTGCATATGCAGAACATGATTATAACGATATAATTAGTTCTAGACTTGTGAGAAGTCTAGATTTAATACATTGATTCATGATTCATTTCATATTGTGAAGCATGATATGAATTAATACTATGTGCATTGTGTAGCATGTTTTAAAAGAATAAGTATGCAAAGTTATATGAGCCATGTGATGAAGGTAAGGAAATGATATGTCTATGTGATATATTATGTAATTTGGGAAAAAACCCATGTTATGTAAATGAGAACTATAGGTATAGTTGGCATGCCAAGAGTAGAGGGTCTACGCGGTCCTTCGGGACATATATGTATTCTTTGGAACATGTGTGAGGTCTTTTGAGACACATACTTGATCCTTGGCATATGTATATGATTCTTAAGGAATTATCTACGTGGTCCTTAGGAACAATCTTATATGGCACTACGGTGCAATTCTATACGGCACTTCAGTGCAATTCTACGTGGCACTTTGGATTTATACGAGTTGTAGTGATAGCATAGTGCACAACCTTACACTACTCACACACCTTAGGTTCTCAGTATGGTATCATGGGCCAATAATCTTATTAATACAAATTCATGAATGTTAATATATTATGCTTACAGGTAAGGAACATGGTGATATAAACTGCATTGTTAAGTATTTGATTTCTTCTCATTCCATTTTATTATGGCATTTCCATTACATTTCTTCGTTGTCATTATTATTATATTGCCTCGCTAAGTCGATGACTTAGCGTGTGAGTGTTTCACACATAGGATCCAAGAAAGTAGACGAGACATGTTAAGCAGCTGGACAACACTACTCCTGCAACTATCAGATCAGAGGCAACTTAATCAGTAGGTCCTTTTGTTATGTAAATGAATGTTGGCATGTAATCAAAGGGTCAAGTTGTGTATGCTCTGAGTATTTTGATAAACTTGTATTCATATATGTATATTATTGTATTTTAATAATATAAGTTTAAATGTTTTATTTTTTTTAAAGAATATTGTTTTGTTTTGTCAATATGACATCCTAGACTCGTATTCGGGTCGGGTATGGGTTGAGGGTGTTACACGGATACAAGTCCGAGGTGTCACATTGACATTTCTAATCAATTTCTTATATAAAATAGAGGAGAAATTCATACTTAAATTAAATAAGCTAAATAATTTACATACATTAAATCAAAAAGTTTACAAAAGCTGATCAGAGCATATACAATTTAAACTTTTAGGTACATGCCAACACTATTTACTACAACATAATAACCTACTGTTAAATTGTTTATGATATGATCTCTGATGATGTTATGTTGTCTCTGCTTCATATCCTTGCTTTTCATATTTCTGGGATCCTACGTGTGAAACACTCACACACTAAGTCACAGACTTAGTGAGACATGTATGCATAAATAAACTAATAAAACTTGCACATACATACTTTCATAACACACATTTACATACTCTTGTATCATATAGTAACATATTTTCATCTCTTACCTGAATCATCATATCTCACACAACAAAAACATATAGGATCATCCATTTAACAAATAATAACATATCACCTCATAAAAATGTTAATTCTTTTTATATCTTTTATTAGCCCATGGTACATTATAGAGAACTAAAGATATGTGAGTGCATTGAGGTTGTGCACAAATATTGTCACCACATCTCGTATAATTTGCACTGAGTGCCATATAAAAAGTCCCGAAGGACCCCGTAGAATTGTCACGAAAAACCACATATATGTCCCGAAAGATCGCGTAGAACCCTCGACTCTTGGCATGCCAATTATACCCTCAGCTCTCATATCACATAACATGGGCTTTACTATTTATAACAGTTCATATCACTTATATCACATAGGCATATTCGCGTGTGCATGTAACCACATAGCTTGTATCATAAAACTTATACTTTGTTCTCTTATGTTCACATATATCATGTAACATATATAGTCACTTATCACATAGACATATAATCATATAATTCATTGGCACGTATCTTATATCTCATGTTCATATAATCCCTTATGTTCATATCATATAACTTATATCATATTCTTATGTAATCACATAGATCATTTAAACTAGTTCACATGGTTTATTACACAAACCTATTTTCATATAGATCATGTAACATATACAGTAACATATAACACATATACTCATATTCAAATACGCAGGCACACATAATAATCATATAAAACACATGCTCATGAATTTACACATTTTAATATAGGAAATAGACTCGTCGCAAGTTTTATTTCCATAAAACATCATATATCATCTAGTATGCACTCACTTGGGCCTCACTAATCACACCAATCTCTTATCTCTTTCTCGGTAAATCTTACTTTGTTGACTTATCTGGACTTTGCTTTCACTCAATATCTTTGAAGTGGAGCTCAAGGGCAGAAAAAGAAGACAAGAACTGTATTTCTAGATATCTCCCCAAATCCACGTGCTTATCTCTTAATAAAGGAGATAAAATCCTATAAAATGAAAATAACATAATACCATTCATTTATTCCTTCTTTGCTATTTAATCTAAAACCAATATATTTCAATCTAAGTCTCTGAACTTTTCTAATTTTTTTTTGAAATTAGACCTAAAATTTCAAAATATACAATTTAGTCACTAACTTAGTTTTTGGGATGTTACCTTAGCCTTCTGCAAACTTGCATAGACAACAAATATCTTCTGCAAGGCAAAGTCCTCCATGCTCATATACTTCACAACAACCTTTTAACAAACACTTTCCTATATAATTGTCTAATCGAACTCTATTCCAAATGCAACGACTAGTCCTCTGCTGACCGCATGTTCCACTATACCCCTCAAAAGGACTTTTATTCATTGAATGTCATTTTGAGCTTCCATTGCAAAGCTGGTAACTTAAAGTTGGCACGCAAGGTGTTCGAACAAATACTGAAAGAAACGTTGTCTCAAGGAACAACTTGATTAGTTTGATGTTAAAAATATATACAAGGAAAAAGAGTTGGATATTTATAGGCTTATGGTTTCGTAAGGTTTTTTGTCTACTAATGTTACCTTTGCTAGCGTTTTAAGTGTTTGTCGAAGCATTTTGGATTTTCAGCTTGGGAAGAGATTCCATGATATTGTTATTAAGATCGGTCTTGATAAGAATATCTTTGTCTGTAACGGATTATTGTCTGTTTATGCTAAATGTGGGGTTATGAAAGATGTTCAAATTTTTTCGGTCATTGATGAGCCTAATGAGGTTACTTTTACCTCAATGATGGGTGGGTTAGGAAGTATTGACGGTGTATTTGAGGCTTTGGAGATGTTTAGAGTGATGTGTAGAAAAGGGGTTCGAATTGATTTTGTTTTCTTGTCTGCTGTTTTGATTGTTTGTGCGAAGGAGGAAGAGTATGGTGAATCTGGTTGCTCTGAAGATAGTGATAGATTATCATGTAATGTTGTACTTGGGGAACAAGTACATGGTCTTGTAATTAAGCTCGGATAGTTTTTCATAATTTGGGAAAAGTTTGTGTTGTTTCATGGAATATTATGATTGATGGATATGGCCAGAAAGGAAATTGTGGGAAAGTTATAGTGTGTTTTGAAAGGATGTAATTTTCTAGTTTTGAAAATGGTGATATTACTTATATTAATATGTTGGCAACATGTGTAAAGTGTGGAGATGTCGAAACTGTACGTCAGATGAAGAAGAAGAAGAAGAAGAGTCAAATGGTCGGTCAAACATGCTGAGTCAACTGGTTTAACGTGTCACGTCAGCATTTCGTTACTGCAGTAACGTTTGTTAACGTCGAGTGATCATTTTGTAACAAACGATAACGTTAGTGACTGATTTGTTACTTTTAAAATATCAGCGGTGAAAATGAAACTAATCCAAACATTATTGACCATTAGCGTAGTTTACCCTTAAAGAAATTAATTGAAGAAATGAAAACAATTACTAATTTAGGAAAAACATTGGCCCGAGAAAGGCGAGCTTCATGTGGAGAAAATAGGAAAGGCCGGTCCCCAGAAAATTAAGGTGGGGCTTGATGTTAGCCCCTTGTGTTTCTCTCCTTATTAATGAGATCATTATTTGAGTGACTTCTCGCTATTAGGGTGTGTTTGGTTGGGGGAATATAAGATTCCCATGGGAATGGAATCCACATTCCCCCGTTTGGTTGGCCAGGAATGTCATTCCCGGTAATCTTACATTATCAATAGTGGATTTTTTTGGGTATATTATCGGGAATGTCATTACCTCCCTTTCCTTAAGTATTGTTGGATTACCGGTGTTTTGGACTAAAATGCCCTTAATTTTTTTTCTTTAAAAAATATCCTTATTCTGTCATTGAATAATAAAAATTCTACGAATATTAAATTACAAATTTATCCTTAAACTATATTAGATTTACAAAAAAAAAATCTATAATTAAAATTTTACATTCCAATAATCTTTTATTCTTTTAACCAAACACGACAATCTTACATTCCTGCTAAACCAACCAAACACAAAATACAACATTACCAGTAATCCTATTCCATGGTAATCTTTTATTCCTACTGGTAATCTTACATTCCGTGAACCAAACGCAACCTTAGGTGGCGTTTGGTTGGATGGAATCCCTTGGAATTGATGGGAATTGGAATCCAATTCCACCACTTTCCCATGTTTGGTTCAAGTTTTTCAAGGGATTTGAAATCCCTGATGGAATTCAATTCCATCAAATGAGGGAAAGTGAATTTCATCCAAAAATGGATGGAATTCAATTCCCTTGTTAGAGGGAATTGAAATTTGACCATACTACCCTCATCAATCATTTGGTAACTTATTCATATATTGAATAAAAATATTTTTTTATTATTTCGGGTCGGGTTTCTAATTCATATATTCGGGTCGGGTCGGGTGAAACTTTATTTTGGTCGGGTCGGATCGGGTTTTTTTAAGTGTGATATTCGGGTAGGGTTCGGGTTTAGGGTGAAAAAAACGGACCGACCCGAAAATATATATAATTCAGGTCGGGTCGGATTAAGTCACTGTTTTTTTTAAATAAAAATAATTTTTTATTATTTCGGGTCGGATTTCTAATTCATATATTCGGGTCGGGTCGGATGAAACTTTATTTTGTTCGGGTCGGGTCGGGTTTTTTAAGTGTGATATTTGGGTCGAGTCGGGTCGGGTTTTTTTAAGTGTAATATTCGGGTCGGGTTCAGGTTTAGGGTGAAAAAAACCGGACGGACCCGAAAATATATATAATTCGGGTCGGGTCGGATTAAGTCATTGTTTTTATTAAATAAAAATATTTTTTATTATTTCGGGTCGGGTCGGGTCGAATTTATAACTCATATATTCGGGTCGGGTCGGATGAAACTTTATTTTGTTCGGGTCGGGTTTTTTAAGTGTGATATTCGGGTTAAGTCGGGTCGGGTTTTTTTAAGTGTGATATTCGGGTCAAGTCGGGTTCGGGTTTATGGTTAAAAAAACCGGACCGACCCGAAAAAAAAAATATAATTTTACCTTATATATTTTATGAATAATTACAATAATACCCCTCTATATATAATTTTTTTCAATTAAGTCAATGTTTTTATTGAATAAAAATAATTTTTTTATTATTTTGAGTCATGTCGGGTCGAGTTTCTAATTCATATATTAAATAAAAATAGTTTTTGGTATAGTTTTTGGTAACTAATTAACATACTCCGATTGGAATGTATCGAAATATTGCTCTATCTTTTGGTAACTTATTAACATATTTTGATTGCGATGATTTTAACTTATAATGTTTATTAGCATGATTTTTATAATTTATTGAAATGAATAATCAATCAATAAAATGAAAATTTAATATTTTTTTAATTTTTTATAACATATTACTACATGTAAGTTGTAAAATAAACTAAAATAAAGCAAAAAACAAGAAGGGTAATTATGTCATTTTATATTACTGAAATCAAATTCATCTGACATGTCTGCGAACCAAACAGAATATGGAATTGGATTCCAATTCCTACAGATTCCAATTCCTTCACAGATTCCTATTCTCTCATAAACATTCCAGCGAACCAAACGTCACCTTAAGGTCGGTTTGTTTCAGGTATTTCATTTTACGGAAAAGGTTTTCCCCCAATTCCGGTGTTTGATACACGGTCAAAGGAAAACAAACTACAGCAAAGGAAAAAAGAAAATAAAACACGGGAAAACAACTTACCGTTTATTTCTGGTAAGTCATTTTCCTAAACTCACCGGTTATTTTTATTTCCCCAAATCCCTTCCTCCTCCGATTCTTTCCTTCCAATTTCCATCATTCCCCTTATTTTCCTCTTGATTTTTGTTCTCCTTCATCCTGGGCTACCTGCCACTCGGTAAAATTTACACTTCTTTTCCTGGATTTGTGATAGAATCTTCTTAATTCCATGTGATTATTATTTTGAAAGGGAATTCATTGTTTTTGTTGAAATTTGTTTGATCCACATAATGGATTTCAACTGTCTACAGGTTTTTGTTCTTTGATCTCCATGGTAATTGCTCTATTTATTAGATTTCAAGTATTTGGAAGTTATTAGCTAATGATCGAAAAGATTAACCTAGGCACAATCACGACCATTCGAAGTTTCTTTTTCCGTTTCCTCAACCTTTTTTTATTTTGATCGAAAGGGCTTAGATTCCGTTGGAATTTTTTGGATATTTACACCCACCAAACGGGGTATGTTCACTCGTATGGTATTGTTCGATTTGCTAATTGGTTAACAATTTTGCAGATAACGCGCTTTTTGATGCTTCCCAATATGATTTTTTTGTCAAAATGCTATGGAAGAAGTGGTGTTTTGAGGTATGGAAGATGGTGAAGAGGAAGCCCCTATATTTGCATACATTGAAGATGACGAGTACCGTTTGTTTGATAAAGGAGAGGTGAGATTTCATTACTTTGGTTACTAATTGAGTTACGGATCCTTGTTTTGTTTGCAATGACACTTCTGCATTGCTTTTGTAGCTACTTCTATTTTCCCTTCCATTATATTACGACCCTAAAACTTATTAATATATGTTCGGATTTATTCTGGCCCTAGACCTGTCAGCGGGTTTGTTAAATAAACACCTCAAGGGATATCTAAATGCAAGAAGTTGCGCTCGTAAAAATAAAGTTGCAATGGAACATATGATTCTGCCTATATATGTTATGTTTATTTATAAATGTTGCAGCGTGATGAATGTCAATAATTAGCCTTTCTCAGTAGCAGTTGTTTATAAGATTTGATATGCATGTTTCCTTAGATGATATTGGTCTTTCCATTTTCACTTTCATACCTTGTATGAACTAGTGTGGAACCGGAGAGAGGGGAGTTTAGAATTGTTGTTTTCAATAAGATGACCTTTCCATTTTGTTCATCTAAAGACTGGTTTGAAGATGGTTGTTTTACCATGGTGTTGGCAGATTGAATATCTTAGCATGCATATATTCATGTACTTCTGTAAATGTGCTTATTTGTTTGTTTTCTGTTGTTCTATTGCTACCTATTTTGCTTTTGTTGTCTTTTCATGGTGATTGGATTTTAATATATCTCTTTTTTCCTGCAGTTGAATAGGGTTGTCGTTGGACCAAGAAATCCAAGAGTTATTAGAGATAAATCTGGTTCTTTTTCAAGGGAAAGTAAGTAATATTAAGCCATATTTTATGTTTGTATACTGTGGTTATGATCTGTATTAGATGAGTGAAACCATGTGATATCAGTTGATATTTGTTAAAAACAAACACTTTTATTCCACTTTTTTGCTTAAAATTCTTGGGATCAGTTTTTTGTTTATGATAATAATTTTATGTATATGCTCAAAAATTTAAGAGAAAAAAACATAAGTGTATTATTCTATTTTCTTCAACTTTAACACAGGAATTGGATATATTTAAATTTGAATATCGATTTAGATTAAGGGTGTGTTGGTTGGGGGAATGGAATCCACATTCCCCCGTTTGGTTGGCTGGGAATGTCATTCCTGGTAATCTTACATTACCAATAGTGAATTGTTGGGGTATATTACCGGGAATGTCAGTACCTCCCTTTTCTTAGGTATTGTTGGATTACCGGTGTTTTGAACTAAAATGCCCTTAAAAAAATTTTCTTTCAAAAATATATTTATTATGTCATTGAATAATAAAAATTCTACGAATGTTAAATTACAAATTTATCCTTAAACTAATTTAGATTTACAAAAAAAGTCTATAATTAAAATTTTATATGAAGTTCAAGGGTTAAAATAAAATTTTACCATTTCATTAAACCTTTTTATATTTTCAATTTTGTAAAACAAATTATATAAATTTTATGAATTTAATTTTTTTAAAGAAAATATATAAATATTTTTCAACTTGTTAAAAAAACAAATATATAATAAGGACAATTTGATCAAATATACATTCTAATAATCTTTTATTCCTTTAATCAAACACGGTAATCTTACATTTCTGCTAAACCAACCAAACACAAAATACAACATTCTCAGTAATCCTA